AGGGGAATAAGTTTAACTAATATAGTTTCTAAATTGTTAGCCTCGATTATACTTAGACGTCTAACTAGAGCTCGCGAAGAGCAGACTCGAGAAAACCAGGCTGGTTTTCGACCTGGACGTGGTTGTATAGACCACATCTTCACACTACGACAGGTCCTGGAACACAGACACACATTTAGACGTCCGACGTTAGTCGTGTTCCTGGACCTTAAGGCGGCATTCGACTCAGTGGATCGTGAGGTTCTGTGGCAGTGTCTGTCATTGAAAGGTGTACCAAAGAAGTACATTAACCTTATACAAGCACTCTACTCGAACACCACTGGTCGGGTGAGAGCATATGGCGAACTGTCATCTGAATTCTCTACATCAAGTGGTGTCCGTCAGGGCTGTCCACTCTCTCCATTCTTGTTCAACTTTGTCGTAGACATCCTCTTAGAGTTAACATTAAGCTCGTCAGATTTTTCAGGGGTTGACCTTCTACCAGGAAAGTCGCTTACTGATCTAGAATATGCCGATGACATAGTTCCATTCGGTGAAGACGCTGATAAAATGCAGAGCCTTCTGACTACCATAAGCAACAATGCGAGCATGTTCGGGATGCGGTTTTCCCCCTCGAAATGCAAAATGTTGCTTCAAGACTGGGTTGCTTCGGCACCTGAACTAGTGATAGGGAGTGAAGTAGTCGAGCGTGTAGATCACTTCACTTATCTGGGGAGTCTCATCAGTGCTGACGGTCTGGTGACTGACGAAATCTCAGCTCGGATACAGAAAGCTCGATTGGCTTTTGCCAACCTGCGTCACTTATGGCGTAGGCGTGATATCCGTTCGCTAACCAAAGGGCGGGTGTACTGCGCAGCAGTTCGTTTCGTTCTCTTATATGGCTGTGAAACATGGCCGTTAAGAGTAGAAGATGTTCGTAGGTTACTAGTATTCGATCATAGATGTTTAAGAAGCATTGCTCGTATATCGTGGGACAGCCGAGTAAGCAATGCTGTCGTTAGGAAACGAGTACTAGGTAAGGATGGCAGATCAATCGATGAAGTGGTGAAACTTCATCAGTTGAGGTGGTTGGGACATGTGTTACGTATGCCTAACCACCGACTGCCTCGACGAGCTATGTTTTGTGGTGTAGGAGTAGGTTGGAAGAAAGCTAGGGGCGGCCAGACCAAAACATGGCACAAATCCATGAAGTCACTGACAAGTGGACTGAGTCATGTTGGTAGATGTAGACTACCTGGTTGGGGTCCGCGAGACGAAAGTCATCAATGGTTAGAGACCTTGAACGACATGGCTCAAAATCGTTTACAATGGCGCAGATGCATCCACTCTTTGAGCTCTCTCAAATCCTAATCTTCTGGATTCGTCAGAACCTCTACCTTTGTCTTTCTAACCTTATCTCACTGAATTATATTTTTTGAATAATATCTTAAACCCTAGTCTTCTTTATTATAACATTAATACCTCTACCATCTTTATCACTATGGGATTTGATTTGACATTTGCGTCTCTGTGCTAATAATGTGGTATGGCAACATGAACTTATGTACATACGTACGAAGTTCTACGTTGCAACTGACTGACTGACTGAGACTAAAAGCAGCTACCCAAGGTCTGAGGGCGAAGTCGTACTGCTGACTGACTGCAGAGGAGTGTGACAGCAGTAAGATGTTTCCCTTGGACAACCAGCATCTGCAGCGATGCTGCCTTCTCACAAGGAAGGGAGGGTTAGAAAAGGTCGACCCTAAAAATGTCACACCTCACCCTACCTCACAGATTTCCGTCTCCGTCGGTAAGGGTGCCCACTAAGGGCCTTTAATAGCGGAGCTAATACTCAAAAAACCTTTCATAAAAAGGTCATGCGTGACCGGCCTCAAGCAGTTGTTCCTTGGACTCTGCGGTCATGCTCCCAGGTCTCCAAGACCAACACTAATCTATCTTCCTTTTCAGGTCCATCATGAAACAACCTTCCACGGTGTGGGCAGCCGGGAATTGACAACCGCCCTCATACCCGTAACAGCATTATAGTTGCGTCTGTGTTTTGGAAATAAATATTTGATTAAACTATAAGTATATAATCTACTTGGATTTTCTTAAGTTGATTTCTTTTCCACTCTTAAATACCAACTAACTTACTATAGTACACACACACCCCAGACAAATTTGAATACTCCACAGTCAAAATAACTAACCCCCTGAGAATATGAAAAGCAACAGACTTTCTAGTAAAGCTATTTCACTATTTCAATGTTTCAATAATTTTTGATATTAATTTTGACAAAAATATACAAAATGAAATGTGAAGTCAGTTTCTTTTGTTTAAAAAAAATAAAAAATTACATTATATTGCAATACCTTTCTACATTACTTTGATGACTACTGAATGAAACACTATTTGTGCAATTGAACATTTCAAATAATTACAATGTAAGTAAAATATAGTTAAATATTACCTCCACAAAAATTGAAGCATTTCAATTTAACTAAATTAAGCAGAAATTAGAATTATGTTAACCGATGATGATAATAATAATGAGGAAACAAAAATGAAACTTACTGTTTTAACCTGCTGATCCTGACGTGGTGGCAGTGATTGTGACGATGATGATGATGATGGTAGCCTCATTTGATTGTGTAAAGGTGAAGCACACAATCCTAGACTTGCACATATTAGATCAGGTGCAGTGCCATCAATAATAGCACGAACAATTTTCGCTCCATATTTTTCAACAAGGTTCTCACACTGTGAATCGTAGTTAGACGGTAGATATTCACAAACCTAAATATTTGGCAAGAGTTGAGCACATAAAGTATAAATGATGAACACATATCTAGAGGTAATTACAATAACTAATGCTGAGTAGGATAGTTGGCCTATCTATCAGTAGTGCCATTTAATGTAGATTACTTACACTCTCAAAGGGTGTTTCAATCGGAATGTTAGATTTAAACAACACTTACTTACTTACTTACTTACTTACTTACGCTTGTTACCCCATATTCACGCGGAAAAAACCATTGAAAACTTTATTAGGCTTGACAATCTGGATTTTTAACAGGTACGAGAATCAATACTACACAGCTACACAGATATTTCGAACCAGTAAAAAATACATCTCAATTCTAGGATGTGATTCCGAGCTTTCTAGGTTTCGGCTGTTAAACCAAGTTGTAAAAGTCAATGACAAAAGCTTGATGCATTAATAAGTATTAAATGTAAGTTTGCGGTATACAACAGATTACATTACTTGGTCAGTAGTATGCTTCTATACCTAGCTGATCAAACGTTATGATCACCTATTTTAGATTTGTTTGAAGCGCATAATTAAGAATCCTGGCTAACCATATGTACTCGTATGCTTTCATAAAAGTTACAAACTGTGATGATAAATACTGAAAAACTAAAAGAGAAACACTATAGTTTTTGTCACATCTTCCTGTTAATCTATCCACAAACAAAGCGAGACGAATATGTTCAGATTCAGACAATTTACATGATAGTGGTATAATCGGTGCTGAGAAATCCCTACTATGATAAAATTTCTGGTACTGAATAAAGTAATCATTATTATCATTAACAAAGGTTACTCTATATGCAAGTTAATGTAAAAAATTGCATAGTGTCAACGTTATAAACTATGACAATGAATAATGTAACTTTCAATTTTAAATAAACAAAGAGCTTCTTCAAAGTTGTACGTGTAAAACGACTGATCAGTTCAGCTGTATATCTGAATACTAAATGTTAGTGAACTATTGAGAAAATGTTTTCCAAAACCGAAATCAGACTTCATTTTTAGATAAGCCATTTTAAACTCAATTAATGGTGATTTGTGTGTGTTCTATGTAGGAGCATGTTATTTATCATATGGCCAGTGGCTTTATCATTGATTTCCAATTGTTAGTGGAGTATTCATTCAATAATACGGTCTCATGAGTGGTTAACACTCGGTCGCATTATATCATTATGTCTATCTATCTAGTAGTATTTTTATTCACTGATTTTAGCGATCAAGAATATAGTGTAATAAATTCATAGAAAACCTACTCCATAGCACTAAACCGTAACATTCTTAATTTGCAACTCACGACGTCTCATTCACATCAAGAAACATACTTTTCTTTAGAATTCACTGCTTTTTTCCTTTCAATCAGGATTGATTCCATCATTTGGTTGTGTGTAAGGTTACCATTGAAAAAAAAACAATTAATATCATAAATAGCAATGTAATACTGATGATAAAATAATGCTTACAGTTTCTAAAGCTAACACGATTGCTGCTTCAGTTTGATTACCAACAGTTAACTCAAATACCTTTCTGATCAACGCTACGCATAAGTGACAAACACCGGGGAATTCTTGTGATGTAGACGACGTTAACATTGTATTGTCAACTGAACCAGTATATTCACTGGTACACATTCCAAACAAAGCACATACTTCCTTAGGTTCAACTTCTTTCATACCATTGATTATTTCATCAAAGTTATATTGTATCGCTTCTTTACACTGAAAGGTATAATAAATCAAGCTACTCATATAATACATATAATCAGCTAGGTATTTTAATAGCACGTACAAAAATAGTAACAAATTCAAATGAAAATTTACTATAATTATGATATGAGAGACGAAAGCTAACAAATGTGAAAGTATACAGAAATCAGGAAGAACATAATGACATTGTCTTATTTAGACAATATTTACAACTGTTGAGCGTCAAGTACGTATCATTACTATACTATAACTACTATACTATAACTTGGAAGAGCGAATATCTACATTCAATTCGATACACATTTGTTGGAGATATTATACAAGTATTAGAGTGATTAATATACTTCAGGCAGCTGAAGTCATGTTTAGAAGAAAACAAGTTCAAGACATGTAATTCCACACCCAGCTATGTACAATAGCCTACTTCGAACGACTACAGTTGTGAAAGTAATGAATATGAAGCAATTAGGAGAATGAGATCGACATTTTGATCAAACAGTATTATGTGAAATAAATTTAGCTCTGTAAACTAGGTAATTCAAAAACTGGATAAGTAACACCCAGTCATTTAATATTCTTGAAATTTCAGTGATGTAGGTACGGTTTATTCAACACTCCCTACAGCGAATTCGCACTGGTGACTATACCAGAGCGTCGTGATAGTAAGCAGTTTTTGACAGATAAGCAGGATCTCTAGTGTTTTTCACCGTACTGAAACAAAGGCTGGAAAAGGTCGGCTGAAGAGATAGCGGAGATACCAAGCGTAGTTCAAAAAGTACGGAGCTAGTAGTTAAAGCCAAGTCACAAAAAATGATGTGCTATCAACCCTAAATAGTTGCCCTTCGGAAACTAAATTTGCACACCGAGGTTAATGAGATCATATACAGTATTGTAGAGCCTTTTCTGAGTTCCTCAAGCAGTCGCTTTCTGTTAACCACACATCCAGTAGCGTTCATGCTCATTTTGTTCACTAATCACTTTTTCCCTAACGTGAATTATTCATCCCTAAAATTATTCCTTCCTCCCTAGCTTCATGTCCATCCACCTGCGAAATACTGGTCAGTTTAAAAACGCTATTACTGGTTTTCTGGGATCAGCATTTTTCCTATGAGACAGGTGCATACTATCCTTGATATCTTTATAAACGATATATAAATCCACTCAATTATCCCGGTCCAATCTCTGTGGGGAAAAAGTCAGTCAGTCAATTAGTTACAACGTAGAACTTCGTACGTATGTACATCAGTTCAAGTTGACATACCACATTAGCACAGAGACGCAATTTTTAATTCAAATCCCATAGTAGAGGTAGAAGTATTGGCAGGGCTCATAATTTGGGTATCTTAAGGATTTCTCTGTTCTCAGAGCGAAAATTACATTTAACTACAGTCCAATCCATCAGCTCAACCATTTCGAGTAACACTTTGTTAGTTTTTATTTTCGTTGTGTATAGGAAATGCGATAACTAAGACCGAAATTTATATAAAAAAGGTTTTACATTGAATACGACAAACAAATAATGTATATAATGAAAAATGTGTTTAGCATGTAACGATAATGTAAGAACGAAACACTATGAAATCTCAAATATAACAACTTACAGCAGCTGCAAAGAATCCCATATGTGAGCAAAGCTTTTCTTCAATCAGAGTCTTTAGGCGCTGCTGTATAGCTGGGTTTTCAACACCCGTCTTAAACTGATTCAGTACGGATACACAGTCAGGGCAAGTTGGGTTTTCTTGTGATTTATATGATGTCCATTTATGACCAACACTTCCCAACGGGCGCTGTATCCACGAAAACTTTTTATCTTCGCCACATTTCTTCTTATTAGTCTGAGAATTCAAAACATATATACATACGGTGTTCAGAAATCAGAAATGATCGTAAACTTAGTAAAACAACTTCAAAAATAACTTAAAGTTTGATTTAATTCGTTCGAAAAATGAATATTCTGTGGTCTTCCCGTCTACAAATCTCTTTCACAAACCTACAAGCCGCTGTGCTTCAGTGGATTTTGTTATGGCATGAAAAATACCAAAACATAAAAACTATTCAAGCGGTAGACTCGGTACCAGAGTAAAAATAGATAATGAATTGAAATACAAATGCAAAAAAATGTGGAACTAAACAGCAAGGCAGAAGAAACGAAATACATGGAGTAGTGAAATGCACAGATTCATACAATCTTATTATTTAAGATCAAAAAACGAATACCAATACTATTGTAGTCGATTTCAGGCGATGCTATCTAGATTTCAAGTATTACGGTCACCTTTAAAACGAATAACTACATCAGATGAATGAAAAGCATATCAATGAAGCTTGACATGAACTTTTTCACACCAGTAAACGACGGTAAAAAAAGATAATTTTATAAACAAACCAGTTGTAGAGTACAAAAGTATTACATTTATACTGAAAAATAACATTTAAATAAAGATACTCTGTATTTTACTTGAGTTAAAAATTTTAGTGGAAAAGCCAGGTCAGGATAATAATTAGACAAGGCAGAATGAAATATGAAACACTAAACCCACTGCATAATGTGCCATCAACAATATTTGAGTATTTTGGGTCACTAAAAAACAGATATTAATGAAGCTGGATACATCAGTCTCTCTTAATAACGCTTCACAAATTATTGGGCTTTAGGTACTGGAAATCTCTGCACTACCCAGTTAACAAAGCTAGGGTGTAGTAATTCTATTCACTTACCATGAAGTCAGCCAGTGTAAATTTCGTCGTAGTATTCATACAAAATCCCAGGGTTGCACAAATCTCTGAAGGACTCTAAAAACATCAAGATAAACTGAGTTAGACTCTTACCATTTTTTCGGAAATTATGTGCAGGACATAGGGAATGTGAGCATTTATAATGCTTTTGCAGTATGGAATTATTTCACCTGGAAGATTATTGCAAACTAATTCATCAAGCTGTGCTTCGATCTGAGCAGCAGTTGAATTATCTTCAATCAGCTTTCGCATATCATCAACCAAACGTTTACAATCATCACAGATTGGAACTCCAAAATTTAGATCCTTGTTAATATTAAACAAAGCGGACGCTTACTTTGACGTATGTATGCGATTCACAAAGTGTAAGGATGTTACACAAAACATCATTGCGATTCTAATGGTTATATTATTTTAAAACGGCACTAACCTCAATATATCTCAATTGGGACAAGGTATTGGTGATTTTTTTGCACTAATTTTACCTGATAAATGAATCGAAAAAATTACCTCGTCATCTTTCACACCAGAGGCACAAAGCAATGGTGCAATCTTGTAATCCCACACATAAGGTGAGATCAACCGACAATTGGTACATTCGGAAGAATTATCTGCTTTATATTGTAACCATGGGTACTTCTTCCATTCAGTGATACACTCAGGAAGACTATTGTGTTTTTGTGCAGAGACAGCACTTCGACAAACCAATCTGTCGACCGTGCTACGAGAAACAACAACAGATGATAAGCATATTACTAAGAGTGTTATATGAAACAATAGATTATTACCAGCAACAGTGAACTGCAACAAGCCCAGCATCATCACAGAACGTCGAGCGAGCAACCTGAAAACTGAATATAGGCAACAAATAAATTTAGTTTTCGATGTGGACAAACAATTTTTCAGTGGCGCAGTTAGCATCCAAATTCCAATATACAACAAATTATTTACATTTCTATGTTTTTGCACCGCTCTCATTTTTCACTATAAATTTATGGGAGTGTTCAATTATCTCGTAAGTGAGGAGCATAATGAAGCGTGTTTAACAAACAGGAAAGCATTTTTGCCGCAAAATGTGGTTTCTGCTTAATATCAGTTGAAGATCCTTCCAATATGTTCCATTTATTTGTCTTAAGGCTCAGTGATTGCAAGCACAACCTCTTAAAAAGAGCATTCTGATTATCTGATTCTTTTCCGTTACTGTTTTTAGATCTTAGTCTTCCATTATGAAGTCAGCTGACGTGTTGATATTTATTAGTCTCCGACGCTTTATCTGTGGACGATATGATTCCTCCTTGAAATTTTTTCGCTCATTGGGCCGATATTTCTTGATATGGTAGAGGGTTCTAATAAACGGCAACCCGATATAAGAAGCGGTGTCTCAATCTGAATTTATTCGAGCACTATATCTGAACCTTCTTAAGGTGCTTCGGGAGATTAATATTCATGTACGGTACAGGAAGATAAGGCATTTTAACACCTGAACCACTATACAGAATGCCAGTATGAGGTGCCCTAGAGTTCTACGGTAAGATAAAGTAAAAGGTTTGAGAATTTCAGCTACACGTCTGAGCAGAGTTTGGAGAAACCAGTGCATCACAATCTGAATACCTCTGAGTGTTCCAGCATTCCTAATAAGATGAACAAGGTGCCTTAATCCAATATTCTAAGCTAGATCTCACATAGTTTGCGAGTAATGGTAAATCAATCCTCACAAAATATGGTCTTTTAGGTCTTCACCAGCGATGCTGGTCTCATCAGTTTTTCTGGACACAACCCAGCTGAAGGCTTTTGGTCACACATCTGCCCTAGATTACCTCTGAGTACGCCATGCTACTCACTCCTCGCACCAACTAGTCAGCATAGGTTGCACATCTTCAAACATCCCAACTACCTTTCATGAATAACTAAAATCTCCTTTATTCCTGACTTCTGGTTTCACTGGGTATGTATTCCTGATTACAAAGGTATTACAGATAGCAGCGATGTCGGTCGCCAGAAATCTATAGCACCTTTGGGGGTATATAGTAAGAACAATGTCTCTGTTGAAGCGTTTGGATGTATGGAAAAGTGACTGTAAAGCTTAAAATATGTTGGCAGCTGTTACACTGCAATGTGCTCTTGCTTCAAAGTCGCGATTACCCATGACACTTAGGCCCTTTTGCTCCTGCACGTACCTCACCCATTATTTAATTTACCAGCTATTCCAAAGCTGGAGAACTTGTTGTGCCATCAATTCCTAACTGCACAACATAAAACGACTGAAAATATTTCAGTTGGTTTTTGAACGCTTGCAGAAAACTGAAGTGGTGAAAGCGGAAACGCCTGATTAAAACAACGGCTCGAAAATGAAAACATGATCATCCCATGTATACCCTTAATTCTAGTAATAAATATGCGATTCGCTTCCCAATCAAATGTATTCTGTCAGAAGTACTAAAATCCATACTGCTGACTGTCACATTAGGGTCAGCCAGTATAGACAACGATGTGACTTTCACGTCTTTCAGATTAGGTGGTCACATTATGACATCTACTACAATAATGGAACAGGCCTATAGTTTTGTCAGCACAGATAAGCGTATAAATACCGGCTTGGGCTTAAATCCTACAAGCTTCCACTTTAAGTGAAACACCTTATCAAATGCCTTCCTTTTTCTACAAGTATCACAAATATCTTGAGCAGTCAGCCAGTCTTCTTTTGCAATCAACAAGTTAGTTGACCACGAATATTTTCCAAGTTAAAGGATAGTATATTTTTCATGACTTGTCAGCTTATTCTCAGCCGTTTCATAAATTATTTTGATCACTAAGTTAATTAGACAAACAGGTTTGTCTCTCTTCATACTTAGATATATGTCTAGCGACAGCATCCCTCCAGTCTTTAGGATGCTTCGTTCGGAAGAGGAACACATCTCGTCTGTATGTTAACCATGAAAGTCATTACACATTTCATGGTTTCCCCTTTTTCACTTGATTTTAACAGTAGATACTTGCGGACGATATCGTACCCAGATATTTTTCATTGATTCAGCATTCCACTTCATAAACCTAACTCCTTGTGTTACACAGTCCATTTATTCTTTTTCATTACCGAATACGTAGTACCTCACTCCAATTTCTGAAAAATTTTTATCTGTTAGGTTTTAAAAGGCACTGTTCATTTACTACGAACCTGACTGTTATTTACTTTTCAAATTATGGCAGGTCATTTAAAAAACATACAATCTCGCCTAACACCTATAACACCTTTGAAAGAATAACTAAATCTTGTAAACACGTTTGCACATCAGTATCCCACTTTAACCTTCCAATATCTACAGTAGATCAGTTCCATGCACTTGATCGGTATAGGCATTATTAATCATAAACTGAGTGGCCCGATACTATAAATTACCCCATCTGATTCACATAAAATCGACACTTCCAGTATGAACTTTTAGAAAATTTGGCTAACACCACATACCAGTAGATGCATGAACGGAAACACTACTCAGCGGTTCACAGAAAGTAGGCAGGTCCGCCAAACATAAACAATCCAATCGCCTTAAGACGCGTTCCTTTTTTCAATACAGTAAACAAGGACCAACCAAATAATAAAAACCTGTAATAGGTCTATTTAGAACCTTGTTGAACTTAATGAGTCATGATATGGAATCCCAAATCTCCAACAGTTGTAATTCTAAAAGTAGTCACAGGGTACCTAACCTTACGCAAACTATTCACGATTTATTACCATATAAATATTTAGTGTTGCAAAAATCCTGCACATTGTCACGTACCGATCACGTAGCGATCATAATATCGTCATATGCAGTTTTAATCTAAAAGCCACAGCTGTAAAACGTAAATCCACTAAACGTCGTCGGGATTATAATAAGACTGATTGGGCGAACTTCCGAAATTGCCTCAGAAGTATTGACTAGACTTATTTCTTTACCGTAAACAATACCGACGAACTAACAAGTTTATTTTGTCACAACGAAAATAATATCTTCAATAAATTTGCACCCCTAGTATCCTGGAGGCCCAGACGTTCTAAGGACTTACGCATGCCAGATCATATACGAAAAGGTCTTCGAAGACTTCATAACCTTAGTGACTTCTCCTCATTTGTTACGATCACAGAAATATTTGTCGAGGCAGAGATATGACGTACGAAATGGGAGCAATGATCTGTGCGTTATACTTCCTAAGCTGTTTACATTGTCACTCTCTACAGAAAGTTACTCTAATACCCAGAAGACTACACATATCATCCCAATAATTAAGTCTGAGCTTACTGCACATGTTGAGAATTATCGACCCATAAACATCACCTCTGCAGTATCTAGGGTGATTCAAAAAGTAGTAAAGGTGGCGGAAATACAACAACTACTTAAAAACAGTCTCATATCGACCTCATAGTACGGGTTCTAGAGGTCCAGGGCATGCGATGTATGCCTGCTAGATTATATCAACGATATTACTGAAAAAGATAAAGGACTTCCAGTATCAGTCCTATTCTTTGACGTTAAGTAAGCTTTTCATAAGGTTAAACAGAAAAGGCTTCTCAAACTAAAATCACTCGGAATCAGTAACCCACAATATTTGTGGTCTGTTTCATTCCTAAATGGACACTAACAGATTGCAAAATACAACAAATGACTTTCATCACCAAGACCAATAACTAGTGGAGTTATCCAGTGTATTAGGTCCACCCTTGTTTCTTATGAACATACACGATATATGTAAGACCATAAAATTTGAAAGATCGTAACTATATGTGGGTGATTTCAAAACAGTCTACATCTGTGAGCCTGAAGATTTGAACAGAAATGTAGACAGGATTTCGACTGACATTGACAACATATCTACTTAAAGCTAAATATGGTAGGTACCTTTTAACCACAAAAAATGTGGCATCAGGAATTTTAGAAAGCATAATCATGAGAAACCACTCTACTTACTTGTAAATGGATTTCTACGTTGGCCGTTCCAATGGGTTCCAATA